CGCAAAAGCGCGTGAAGAGCGTGAAGCAGTTGATCCGCGTCGCGACGGCGTGCAAACAATGCCAGAACTTCAACTCCTTGTTCGCCATTTTGTCCGGACTTTCGCACCAAAGCGTCGAACGCCAGAAACACGCGCTGTGGGAACGCATGCCGTCGCGCGCGATGCAGAAACTGCACAAACTGTACCAATTGATGGATCCGTCGCGCAATTTCCACTTTTTCCGCCAAATTCTGCGCAAATCCCAATCGCCTGTGATTCCGTTCTTTCCGCTCGTGAAAAAGGATTTGTCTTTTATTTATTTGGCGAACGAAACGCTTGTCGAGGAATCGAAGCAATCGCTCGTGAATTGGGAGAAAATGCGGTTATTGGCGCTCAAAGTGAAGGAAGTGCAACAAATGACTCACAAGTCGACGACAACTGTGACGACGCCGACGACGCGCAAGACGTCCACTCTGTCGTCGACGGCGGCGCAGACTTTGAAGAGCGCTCTGAATGACAGCAAAGAAAACAGTTATCGAAAAATGTGGGAAAAACAGCGAATGAGAAAACGCGTGCAGTAAGAGTGACGTCACGTCGTCTCCAATTTACTAATTCTTTCACTCATTTTCAGACACTTTTTGGATTCGAGTTTTTCGTCAATCATTTGCGACGAAAACCTTTTGTTCGAGAAGTCGTTGGAATGCGAGCCTCAGCCGCAGTCGAGCGCCAGTCAGCGGTCGTCGCAGACGACACTGTCGTCGTCGCAAAGCAGTGCCAACAATACGGCCCACAACTCGGCGGTCATGCCGTCGCCCACTCTGTCGTCACACTCGTCGTCGCCGTCGTTGTCGTCGTCGACGACCAACTCGTCGGACGTGCAGTCGTCGTCATCGCAACAGCGCATGCGTTTCGGCGTCAGAGACGACACGGGACTGCGGAAACTGTTGGCGCTGTCGTCCGACATCTCCGTCGTCCACAACAACCACAACACAGCGCTCCGATCCCTGAGTCATTGCAACGACAGCCAGACGTCGCTGTCGTCGTCTCTGTCGTCGTCGTCGCACTTCTTGTCGCCACATCTCCTCAACTCGAACTACTTTCTGTCGGAAATGTCTGCGAATCGCGCGCCGATCGCGCACTCCATGTCTTCCCATTACATGAAGCAGTCGTTGCCTCAGGAGTCGTCGTCCGTGACGTCATTGCGGCGTTTGGAACAATTGCAACAAATGTCGCGCTTCTCTCGCGACGCCTTCCTTCCGTCGTTCAACGACTCGACGACAGTGTCGTCACGACAACAACGACCGATCGGACGACACGTCGTTCCGCCCACTTATGACCAAACGATCCAAAGAATGAAAAAGAAATTCAACCAAAACGAAGAGAATGTCGTTTAAACGCCTTTTTTACAAACTTTTACACAATTTTACATTTTATTTATTTATTAAAGATTTTATACTTTTTATATAAAATAAAGAAATCATGAAAACTATTATTGTTGTTGACATTCCTGACGACAGGCGGCGACACCTCTGACGTCACTTATGAATGCTTTTACATTTTATTTATTTATTAAAGATTTTATACTTTTTATATAAAATAAAGAAATCATGAAAACTATTATTGTTGTTGACATTCCTGACGCCAGGCGGCGACACCTCTGACGTCACTTATGAATGCATTAATTGAATGAAGAATTTGCAAGAATTTCTCATTTCTTTCTATTTTTAAACACTTTTTGTTTATTTTAACCGAAAATCGAAAAATGAACGAATTTTTAGAAGAATTAAAATTAATGAAAACTTCGGACTTTTGGCAACAATTCCTCTCTCGCGAGCTTTCGGTACGTGTTTTGCGCTTTTGGCACGTCTTCGCGCGCGCGTCAAATAAAGAGTTATTTTTAAACCCAATAATAGACGCGAAGAGCGAGAGATGCGAAGAAAACAAGAGAAATGTCGGAATCTGTGTTTGAATTGAAATCTCCGAAACTTTCGTTCAATTCTTCGGCTTTTTTCGATCCCAAAACTCACCCGACGATCAATGACCAGGTATTGGGCCGTCACGTGATCCCAGAGATTAATTCAGATTAATTTCAGGTGTTTTTGTGTCGAGAAATCGCGAAACAATTGGTTTCCGACGAAACGAACGCCAAATCCAAAGGTATGCGAAAAATCACGTGATTCTCAAATACAATACATTGAATACAATGTAAGTTACGTAACATTGGATTGCATTTAAAGGGCGAGAAATGTTTGAGAAAAGAGTGGAAAAGTCGTACAATTGGGTGACGACAGGAGACGACGGCGACGACGACGTGACGTCGCGCCGGACGACAATCAGCGAAGGTATGCATTAATTCTGACCACTGGTGACCGCAACTGACCACTGGTCAACTCACAGGTCCGCCCAATCTGCGCCTCGTTCTGGACCCGAGACACGTGCAGGTAATGCATTGGCGACCACTTTATTGTTGAGAACTCGAGATTTTTTTAAAATGTTTTTAGGATTTAAATTCTCTGAGTTTTGATTCAAACGAAAAGGAAATGCAAAGAGAAGAGAAGCGAACGCGAGATCTCTGCGAAGGCATTGTTGCGGACCTGACGTCACCCGAGAGTAGGCTTTTCATTGGTTTTTGGGATGTTTTTTAATTGAGATTTTTGTCCAAAAGTAAATCCAAACAAAGGAAACGTTTTGTTCGCAAAACGACAGCAAAAGAGCGACGAATGGATTGTTGACGACTACGTGGCGGTCGTGACGCCGACGACGACACCGAAGACGACACCGATGGACGACAGGACGACAGCGGCGACGTCACCGACGACAAAGAGGACGACACTTTGCGACACAAGTGAAAGCACTTTTAGTATTGTTAGAAAGTATCGCGACTTCAACTGCAGAGCGAAGCCCTTCTCGCGCTCGCAATAAAGTCTTTGTTTTGTGAATTGAAGCGAATCCTCCTTTTGATTGTTGTCTCGTTGTATGCCTTGAGGCGAAAGGAAGTCAATAATAACGGAATGAGCGCTACTGGAGAACAGGTGGAGAGCGAGAGGTGATTGTTGTGAAGGTATCGTCTAATTAGACACTCCGTCAACGGATGTGACGTCACGCCAGCCAATCACAGGTCTCGCAGTTTTCGCAGCAATTGTTTTGCGTTTGAATCACTCTTTGAATCGACTTTTAGTTGTCTTTCGTTTCGATTATTGTTTGAAACGAGAATTTTTTCTCTCATTTCTCAACTTTTGAATGAATTTTTGTGAGTTTTTGGTGAAAATTGAATGAATTTTCGCGAACTTTGATCCGATTTTTGGCCGCAATTATGGAAAACGAATCTCATTTCCACTCTTCCTTCGATCTCCTGTCTTCGCATCCCATGATCACGAATGACGACAATTACGGCGACAGAGCACAACACATGACGACCGCGTCGTCACTGAGTGGACAACAGACGACACATCAGACGACAAGTAAAAAGAAACGTAAGATTTCTCTCTTTTCTGACGCAAACTCGCGTCCAGCGCTCGCTTCCGGCGCTTCCGCCAACGCGTGCCCGCTGTGCGCGCGTCGCTGTCGCCCATTGGCTGAGGCGTTCGCACGCGCGTCGCGATGAGAGCCAGCAGAGCGCCTCTGCCTCTCGCGCTGAGTAGTGTTGCGTTCAGTTGTGTTGAGCGCTGAGTTCCGCTTCACGTGCGATGGATCTCTCGCTCTACCGCTACAACGCCTCCATGATGGAATACTACTCTTGTACGCGCGTGAGGCGAGCTGTGCACGTGTTCTGACCACTCTTCCTCTTGCAGGTCACGGCGGCGTCAACCAATTGGGCGGCGTTTTCGTCAACGGGCGCCCGTTGCCAGACGTCGTGCGCTCCCGCATCGTGGAGCTCGCGCACCAGGGCGTGCGGCCGTGCGACATCAGCAGACAACTGCGCGTGAGCCACGGCTGCGTCTCCAAAATCCTCGGCCGGTGAGTTGATTGTTGACACGAGAGACGACCAGACGTCGTCCGGAGATCACGTGTAGCGATGTTTGCGTCGTTTCGAGTGAACGCTTGACACGTGAAACGGAACGATGCGTTCGACTGCTCTTTCATTGCACGCGACGACAGCTCTGAAGGATCTCCCATTCAGTGAAAGCTGTTGGTGAGAGCGACAGACGGCGAGAGCGAGCAGTGGTCGATGTTCGGCCAAATTGCCGAAAGGACGACCACTTGTCGTCGCGTCGTCTTGTGTCGCATTCCTGTGTCGTCTCCATAGAGCACTCGGAATGCAGTATAGG